GGCAATCCACTCACCTCAGCCTCCCAAAGGCGTGGGATTACAGGCTGAGCCACCGAGCCCGGCTTTTTAAAATATTTTTAAAATTTTTATCAATTTACTGGTAGAGATGGGCTCCTGCTATGTTGCCCAGGTTGATCTCAAAATCCTGGGCTCAAGCAATCCTCCCGCCTCAGCCTCCCAAAGTGCTGGGGGATTACAGGCATAAGCCACCACACTAGGCCACTTTTAAAAACTTTAAAGAACATAAACATTATTTAAACATTCTTATATTTTTAAAGCCATGATGCAGGGCACACAAAATAACCAAAGGAAACATCCAATATCAGAGCTTACCTTGTCAATAAAGTAAAAAACTAACACTGGATATAACTAAGGCCCAGAAAAAAATTAATTTTCTACCCACATGATCAATTTACTGTTACCTTCCCCTAATTTTTAAGAAAAAGTTCATTCCTTGACTTACATACCTGCCAAACACTACACTGATACCAAATACTGTTCTGTATCTAATTTCACAAAACTGCTTTATTTGCACCTTCATTTTCTACTCTGTGTATACAACCACTGATGAAGTTGCTCAATGTGGTAATTTTTTTTTTAATATCCAAGAGAGGTTTTCAAGTCTCAAAGAACATATTAAATTCAGCCATTAAAAAGTTACTTCTTGCAGTTACTGACTTATATTTATTTATATGGCAACTCAAACATTTTTATATACCTTTTCCTCATAATGTTATCTGATCTTAACAGACTATTTTAAATATTCTTCCACCTCTTTTTGCTACTTGTATCAATTTTGTTTTCTTATAAAAACGGAAAAGGGAGATGAGATTTGGCTTCATTATAGCAACAACATAAACTATAATACCATAGCATTTAAAAGAAGGCACTAAGTTTTACATCAATTTAAAACTTAACATGATTCTGGGAGACAGACAAGGTAACTGAGGCCCAGGGATGTTAAAGCAGGCTTTTCCCAAAAGCATGTGCATGTGGGCTAAGCATCTACATGAACCCTCTGTGTGAATGGGGCTAAGAGGGTGCACTGAGAAGATACCAGGATGAAAAAGACAGAGTCCCCATCCTCAAGAAACTCCTAAGCTAGTAGAGGAGAGAAACGTGAACAGGAATGCTCACTTTAAATTATGTGGAAGCAGCAGTTGCGCTGTGACTGAAAAGATGGTGGGAAGGCAATGAAGGAAAAGAGACAGCAAAGTACAGTTATGATAGTCTGTGTGTTAAGGGATCTCTGAGTATCCTGATATCAGATGACACATATTGATTGGGCAGGAGGAAGGGTGAGAGATGAGGCTGTAAAGAAAGGCTGCCAAGTCCTATAAAAGTGACAAGGAGCCACAAAAGATTTTAGACAGAGGAGTAACAAGAGCAAATGCATTCTAGAAAAACTCATACTAGCAGCTGTGTGGAAAATATGGAGAGAGGAGAGGGACCCATGGAAACAGTCCATGAACTGATGATGATCCTTGGCAGAGGAAATAGAATCATGATATTTTGGAGGGAGACTCAGTGCTTATAAAGAATCGAGTTTGACTCTCAAATGACAGCTCTGGTTGACTGAGTAATAAGAACACAAACTTGGGGGCTATGGAGGTTCGGAGAGCTGGGAAGATACTGGGTCCTGTTATACCCCTGAAGAATATGAATGCCTGCAAGGCATGTGAATGGACTTCTCCATTCTCCACATGGAGGCAGCTGGAGTCAAAGATTTCAAAGATCGTAGGGCAGTTTTAGACTTATAGAATTAACAATCCATTTAATTCTCCCTCACTGATGAAGCTTAACTTGGCTGGGTAGGTTATTCTTGGTTGAAATTGTTTATCTTTTAGGACTTTGAAGATAGCTCCAAGCTCTCCTAGCCTGCAGGGTTTCTGTAGATAAATCTGCTGCTATTCTAATTGGTCTTCCATGGTAGGTGATCTGGCCTTCATGCTGTCCATCAAAAGAGGACTGGACTGAAAAAATGTGGTACATATACACGATGGAATACTATGCAGCCATAAAAAAGAACAAAATCATGAATTTCGCAGCAACCTGGATGGAACTAGAGTCTATAATACTGAGTGACTTCTCACAGAAACAAAGATCTGAGTATCACATGTTCTCATTCGTATAGTGGACCTTGATAATCCAACATATTACCATAAGAAAATGACTGAGTGGTGGGAAACTATGGGGGGGGGAAGGGAGAGGGGATTAACAGTAGTAAATATCTGTCTGGGGATAGGGAGACACCTCTTATCAACAAGGGTGCCTGAACGAAGCATATTTGTATACCTCACCCTTAACTGTACCCCACAATATCATAATAAAAAATATTGATTATTTAAAAAAAAAAGAATTAACAGTCATCTCACAAACCTAATACTGAGAGGAATGAGAATCACAGTCACCTAGGCAGAGAAGAGACTGAGAACAGAAATGATGACAAAAATGTGGGAAAGGGTAAAGAAAGGTGAATAAAAAAAAATAAAGGAGAACAAAAGGCAAATGTCAGACAGATGAGGAGGAAGTAACTCAGGAGAGCAAAGGATCATACAAAATAAGAGAGAGCTTTCAAAGAAGAAAGACTAGTGTAATTTGTCTAATTAATTCATAATTGGTAGAGGTGAGACTACAACTCACTGATCTTTTAACCAAATACTTTAATTATCCACAATAAAAAATTATTACTTTCGAAGGGGTGGGGAAATTCCCTTTAGGAACTGCAGAGAAGGAGCAGCTATGGAGAGGAGCAGTGATGAAGTTCCAAGCACAAGTCCCTTTATGACAAGGGTCCCTTTAGGTCAAGATTAGGGTCCAAATGAGGTCACTTAGGACTGTCCAACCCAGACTGCTGGGGTGAGGCTTGTATGGGAAGGAGGATGGCAGGGAGGTAAGAGCATGGATTTCGGAATAGGGCAGAGATGGGTTCATCGTCCATTCCACAAATACCAACTGAGCATCTGCCATGTGCCACACACTGTTCTGGACTCTGGAGTAGACAGCAGTGAAGAAAACAATGGCTCCAATCTCACTAACCTCACGTTCTAGTTGGGTATAGGAATTGAGTGACAAACAAGTAGGAAATAAACACATAATATGTCAGAAAATAAGTTTTATAAAGAAAAATAGGTAAGGATAAGAGGGACAGAGGATAATAAGAGGTGCTGGGCAAGTTAAGAGACTTCTCTAAGTACCAGTTTTCTTACCTAAGAAATACACATAAGAATACATACTTCAGAAGGTCTCATGAGCAATAGACAAGATAATGCATATAAAGCATTGTTTAGTGCTGGCACACAGAAAACACTCAAATAAATCAGCCCTCACCTTTGTGTAAATGGGAACCAACTATACCAAGAGGCAATGACCCTCAGGATGGGCTGCAAAAGGTACTTGGTTTTAGAGGCAGGGATAAAAATATTTCACTGAAATGCAGTAAGAAGAGTAAGAGAGTACACACAAGCTCTGCATGGCCTCCAAACAGTTATGCTATTTTAAACTCTAGTTAACTATGTTTTAATCAACAAATTATATCAATACAATGTACCACCTTATCAAAAGGTGTTTATTAATGGACATTTTGGGAAAATTCTTTTTTTTTTTTTTTTTTGAGTTGGAGTCTCATTCTGTCACCCAGACTGGAGTGCAGTGGCCGCTTCCGGCCACCGCAGCCTCGACCCACTGGGCTCCGGTGATCCTTCTGCCTCAGCCTTCCAAGTTGCTGGAACTATAGGCGCACGCTACCACGCCCGTCTAATTTTTTATTTATTGTAAAGATGAGGTCTTGCCAAGTTGCCCAGGCAGGTCTCGAACCCGCAGGTTCAGTCCACTCACCTCAGCCTCCCAAAGGCACGGGATTACAGGCTGAGCCACCAAGCCCGGCTGGGAAAATTCTTTAAAGTTTTCACTTATACAAGTTAAATCACAGTTTTAGAACTTTGTAAGAGAACGCTTGAGACTGGGAACTTAAAAAAGAAAGCATCACTTAGATTACTGTGAACAGACGAAAAGGGTAAATTCATATCCAGTTATGGTCCTGACAAAGCTTTACATTTTTTAAAGAAAAGATATAATATCTTAATAAATCACCATGAAAGCAAACATAAATCTTCTACCTATATTAAATATAGTTAGATGCTTTTAAAGTTTGACTTTTAAAATTTCCCTAGTCGAGTCATTACTCTATGATGCAATTGTTTCAACAGCTGTTTTCAGGTCTGAAAAAAAAAAGACTATTCTTGATTTTATGGGTTTACACATGTCATTTAACTGGTGTGTGTGTAAGAGGGGGATACCATAGAGCTACACCATGCATATGGTTTCCAAGACATAATTTTTTTTTTTTTTAGTTGGAGTCTCACTCCATTGCCCAGGTTAGAGTGCAGTGGCACACTCACTGCCACCCCAGCGTCAACCTGCTGGGCTCAGGTGATCCTTTGCCTCAGCCTTCCAAGTAGCTGGAACTACAGGCACATGCTACCATGCCTGGTTAATTTTTTGATTTATTGTAGAGATGAGGTCTCGTCAAGTTGCCCAGGCTGCTCTCAAGCCCGTAGTCTCAGGCAATCCTCTCATCTTGGCCCCCAAAGTGCTGGGATTACAGGTTTGAGCCACTGTGTCCGGCCCCAAGACATAATCTAATAAATTTTTTAAACGTTTGAAATTCCAATTTTTTGCTTTAAAAATATTTAAAATTCATGAAGAAATTTTATGTTTTTTATGTTGAATTTATAAAACTAAGTAAAAGAAAAACTGTAACTTATACTAAGTAATACATATGATGATATAAAATTTTTAATGTCTATTTAAGATATTGCTTATATATCACATATGTATTTTTAAATATATATATAACATAGCTTTCTAAAAGCTTTTCAGGTTTAGATAATCCAACTCATCAACAGGTTTTAGATTCTGACTCTAATCCTCAAACACTCAGAAGCCCAGTATTATATCTGTTATTTGCAAACTGAGAAGAATGCAAATAAAGCACCATCTCATGAAAAAACATGAGAAAAGAAGGAAAAGTTTGCTTGGCAGCTCCAGCCTCCTCACATAAATAACTACATGTGGCACAAGCCAGATGGATGAATTTAGGGTGTTCTATAAGATGACTAGACAATGGACTTTTAATTGCCTGGATTTGGATTTTTCTATAAGCAGATAAAGATTTTGTTGTTGTTGTTCTGGGTTGGAGTCTCACCATCCAGGCGGGAGTGCAATGGCATGGATCATGTCTCACTGTAGCCTCGACTCCCGGGCTCAGGAGATTTTTCTACCTCAGCCTGCCAAGTAGCTGAGACAACAGGCACATGCCACCATACCTAGCTACTTTTTTGATTTTTTGAATGGACGAGGTCTCACTATGTCGCCTAGACTGGTCTCAAACTCCTAGGATCAGGCAATCCTATCACCTCAGCCTCCCAAAGTGCTAGGATTACAGACACGAGTCACTGTGCCCAGTCAAGACTGGTTCTTATAAACTGTGCACTTAAAAATAAATTTAAAACAGATGTAATAATCTTTAATCCAAGCACCTGGAGGATCTTTACCCAGGACAGGTGGACAGGGGATCTGTGAAATTCTAAAACTTTATGCAAATCATTTTTACATAAACAGAATTTGAGCAGGAGATCGGTAGTCACAGCTATTAGTTTCTAAAAGGGGTCTGTGACTCCAAATATTTAAGAATCATTTAACTTAGAGGTTACTCCTGCCCCAAGTGTAAGCGTGAATCACATTCTCTGAGTTGTTTTTCCAGAAGCGATGAAATATTAGGAGTTCCTCTCCACTTAACCATGGATGCCTTATTCTCTGAAGGCAGGTTAATTGCGGCACTTACCAAATATGTGTCTGTCACTTCCACTGCACAATGTATTTCTTAAGAGCATGGACAGTCTTTGTGTCTGGAGTCACTAGCACAGTAGATATACAGTAAGTATCTGTGACCTTATCCTCTTGCATGATAGTTACTAGCTTGTGAGTCTGCTGTTTCCTGCTAAAGATGTGCTCCACTAAGACAGCGACCTCTGCATTTTACAAAGCCTCAGCATGATGCTGGGCACATTATGGACCTGGAAATGACTGCTGAACCAAATTGATTTGTTTCTGCCTAGAGAGTCTGTGGTTCCTCTTGGCTAACAGCTTGCTTAGATTCATGCTGACCACATTTTATATTTAAAGTCAGTCCTGACTTCCGGCAGTACAGTTACTTCCCAGCTGTCTGTGAAAATGCTTCAGTATTTCAGCTGGATTTTATTGAGTTCTGGAGGCATTTTCCTGTCCACCCTAGGTTCATCCACTCTCGTTTCACATCCTTGTGTAAGCAGCTGCTAAACTATCATGCTGTATTCCATTCTCCTCACATACTTAACCCAGTCCTGCAGATTTTGCAACATCATTGCTGCGGTGTTTGAGAACAAATACTACAAGTCTTGATGAAGGATGTGTCTGGTCATTTGATGTTAAGCACAGTACACAATATTTTATTTGCCTCTGTTTTCCAGAATTAGTCACTATTAAACATTTCTTTCCTTCATGTTTTAAAAGGGGTGATTTAAAATGTTACAATAGTCTTATCCCAAAATATGTTTTAGACACAAAAGTGCTATTACTTTTTGTTTTTCAAATGAGTTGACAAATGCTTATTTTAAAATTGATAATTTAAGGTAAAAATACAGCAGTTCCTATAGGGAGAATAAATGTACCAACACCTGTAAAAACAACTCTAATTCTTTCTCCTCTAAAAAGCAACAGTTAATGTGAAAGCTTTGTTTCTTCTTATGCCAGGTTCCAGCTGCTTCACTTTGTTTAAAACTAACTTCAAAGTTTAAACACTGTCCTGTCCCAACAAATAACCTCCCCCAGATGGAATTATCTCGAATACTATCCTCAGTGCTCTGAATACCACACCTGCAGCCTTTTAATTCAACATTTTATAAACTTCCCAAAGGAAAACCATAGACTTTTTTTTCTGTCCCCTAACTTATCCCATTTGGAGATGTGAGTTTAGTGCATGAAGGGAAGCTCTATACCTAGGGTGAATGTTTAGATAATTCAAAAGAATTAAAATTAGCATTAGTATTTATACTGTGCTGATGATTATGAAAGAAAGAAATCATAAAGAAATAAAACAACCTGAACAGCACCACATTCAAAAACTTTCAAAGTAACAATCTTACCTGTAAATACAGATGTGAGGTACCCATTGGGCTCAATGTGTGTCCGATCTGTATCATCCGGCAAAGCTATATTAAAAAAATTTGTTTCAGAAGAAAATCAGTTAAGTATAGAAATACTCATGATTCATTCTATTTACTAAAAAGAACAAACCAAGTACTCCCACCGTTACTCTCATAAACCCAGGTAAACAGAAGCCTGATCTAGTGGCCTTAATGTAAAGAAGGAAGTTAAACAGCTGAATTTTAATGACCATCAATAGAAAAAAAATACTTGACCTAACAGATTATTATCTTTATGCATCAAAGATGAGGGAAAGAAGGAAGCAAAGGATCAGGAGAGAATTTGCGATTTGTATTAAATAAAAGAAACTCATGGGCCATTTCTTCTGAGGTTAAAAATTTTCAGATTCTCTTCCTTAAAGAAATTAATCATTACAAAAAGAAGCTGAGAATCTCTCTAGGTCAGCCTAGAGCATACGGCTCAGCACAATCTATATAAAACAACCAATAAAGCAGTCACAGAAAGCACAGCTTAGTATACTACTAAACCAAAGCAAAATTTTAATATTGAAATAAAACAAGGCTGGGTACAGTGGCTAACGCCTGTAATCCCAACACTGTGGGAGCCTGAGGCTAGGAGTTCGAGACCAGTCTGACCAGACTGGGCAACATAGTGAGATCTCATCTATACTTTAAAAAAAAAAAAAGAGAAAAGTTAGCTGGGCATGGTGGCACTTGTCTGAGTCCTCAGCTACTCTAGAGGCTGCCTCTACAAAAATAAATAAATAAATAATAAAACAGGCTGAGAGAAAAATTCTTTTTATGGCTAGAGAATTGAGAAACAGAGAAAAGTTAAATAACAGAAGAAAGAAATCTGTAGCACTTATAGGTCTCAGGCCAACAAAACACCCTGGGTACCAAGGGCACGGTCATGCTGATGCTGTTAATCTGTGCTCTGAAACACAGTTGATCAATAACAATCAACAGCTTTTGGTTCAAACAGATTCTTGGGGCAGGGTGATATGAAAAAATGTATAATATGGTATAATTAGTATTTCTTTTCTAATTTTCTCTAAGATAAAAATCAGTTATCTCTCAAGCTTCTTTTATTTCATAAAAATTTCAGGTGCATTTTACAAGAAGATAAGATATTTGAGTGAACAAGATTACAATCACTGCATATTTCATACACTGAGCAATATACATATGATCACTGGAGACAAACATTCATGTTAAACTATTACAGTTATATATAATTGTAGAAAACAAAAATTAAAGAAATATGATAGAGATTAATGAAATACAATACAAATCAATGAATAAAAATTAAAACTTTAAAAGATTTGTTTTAGAAGGAAATGTAGTTTATAATGACAAGAGTGTGGACATAAACAAGTTCCCTGTACAGTCAATATCCACAAATAGCTCAAAATTAAATACCCAACAGTGATATAGGTTTAAAAAAATTTTTTTAAAGAAATAGGTTCTTGTTCTGTCACCCAGGTTGGAGTGCAGTGAGATAATAACAGCTCACTGCAGCCTCGAACTCTTGGGTTCAAGCAATCCTTCTACCTCAGCCTCCCAAGTAGCTATGACTATAGGTACATGTCACTCTGCTCGGCTCAACTGTGATATAGTTTTTAAAAATATTTAAATACATTAAAAGTACTTACTATGATGTTGACTATTAAATGCCACCTATGTACACTTCCCACCATGTCTCTAAGTTTTAAAGAGTTAGAGAGGGAAATAAATCATTACTGCCTGATCCCTCTAGCTTACTAGAGCTGTCTTTTAGATTCTAAACAGCACATATAGTACAAACATGAAAACAAAGTCATCAGTACCACTTCAGAGGTCCCTTCCATTGAACAACCACCTGTTTACAGCAATTAATAAGAATATTTCCTACCAAATTGGGTTGATTAAGGATCTTAGCAGAGTATGTTACACACAGGAACTGTACCTACATGGTAACTACTACATATTATTGCTGTTACCGTAAACATAAAACACTCCCAACAAAAACTGGAGGCAAATCTTGACTTCTGCAATATCTCCTCATAGTAAAAAAGGACAAAAAAAGCTATCTCAATATCAGGGCTGACTGTTTTTAGAACTTATTTTTGTAACAAGTAGTAGCTTCATAATTCTCAATTGAAGATTAATGGGGTTTATTGAAGGGTGATTATTGGTATTGTGGTCTGTAGCTGAGGATTAAAGTAGCAAACATAACCTACAAATAGCTCAACACAGTCTGAAATCCACAAAGTTTACCAAGTTTGTAGATTCTTACAATTCCTCATCTTGCTGCTCAAAGTTGAAGAAACATAATACTTACTAGAATTTAAGTCAAAGGATGAGAAGAAAAAATTTCTAACTATCTGAGCTACAAACTTCCATTAACATTTCTATGGAAATTTTGAGTGGGCAATACTGACTAGAATAAATAGCCTATGATTATAATTTATCTTTTTAACTTTATCACATAAAGTAGACTTGTTAACTTTTATTTAAATGTTTAAAGATAACACAAAATAAAAGATAAGTGATCTTAGATTTGCCAATAGAATCCAAGGCTGGGAAGGCAGGGATACTGCTGAAAAGCTTTCAATGAAGGGACATGGGGAGTACTAGGACTGTACTACTTGTACATACTGTATGTCTTCCAAACTCACCTTATTTCAATATTTTAGCCTTTAATTTCAAATACACACTAAAATCTTGTAGCTATATATAGCACCAACCGAAAGCAAGCCATGTTATAGCATACAAGCTGTTCAAAAACTGGCATTTACAAGGACTGAAATCTGGATTTTATAATGGTTGTATAACCTCTACTATTAGGACATACCATCGCAGAAGTCAAGATTCTCCTCAGTTTTTGGCTGAGTTTGGCTTATGTTTTTTTTTTGTTGTTGTTGTTTTTGAATTGGAGTCTCACTCTGTCGCCCAGACTGGAGTGCAGTGGCCGTCCCGGCCACTGCAGCCTCGACCTGCTGGGCTCCGGCGATCCTTCCGCCTCAGCCTTCCAAGTAGCTGGAACTACAGGCGGGTGCTACCATGCCCAGCTAATTTTTTGATTTATTGTAGAGATGAGGTCTCGCCAAGTTGCTCAGGCAGGTCTCGAACCCGCGGGCTCAAGCAATCCACTCACCTCAGCCTCCCAAAGGCGCGAGTTTACAGGCTGAGTCACCGAGCCCGGCTTGGCTTATGTTTATAATAGCATCAACAATATGTAATACTTACCAATTATGTATGTTTCCTATATGTGACATACTCTGCTAAGATCCTTTCTCAACCCAGTTCAGAGGTACTATCCTCATTACTTGCTATAATGGTTTCATATTTTTCAAATATTTAAAAATTTTAAATTTCTGGCTCTTTAACACTATCTTTAGTAAGTATCACTGATCAAGCAATACTTACATCTGTAAATTTTTATATTGTTTTAAACTAATTCCTTGGATTTTGTTTGGATTATCTAAGAAAACAGTATAGTACTACAGGACTGTTAACTGCAAAACAAGGACATAAAGATGAAGGCCCCCAACATGACACATTTAACCCACAACATAAAACATTAAATTTTTTAATTGATGTACTGAATTTTAAACAAAATCTAATGAGATATCTACAATCACTAACATACAGGACAGCTGCATTTTTATACTAATTTGAGTTCGCCAAAAAAAAAACCCAGGAAATTATTAGGGTACTTAAAAATATATAAAAGGAAGTTAGTATGTGTTAAACAAATAATCTGCCAGCTCTTCCAATTAAGTTACTCACTGGTTGCATATCTAGTAAATATACCAACTCTCTCAAATAATAGCATTTTCAGAAATAGGATCTTGGCAGCATAAATGTATATATTCAGCAGCCAAGAAGCTGACAGTTAATTCAGAAAATAGATGACCCACCTATCCTGAAAGTAGAGCACGATTAATTTGAATAATATACATTTGATTATTTAAAAGCATTTAAATACTTGAATGTACTGCTGTGTGATGTTATGACAGAGAGGGTGTCTGCCTTTTAGGGGCAAAAATGTCTGGAGGGACATTCCAGCATTAAAATCTGGTTGAGAACTGAGAGGGTCTATGTTTTAATAGACAACTTTATCTACAACGCACTTCCTGTTGGTTGAAAAGCCTGTGAAACAGCTACTAAAACAAATTCCTCTCAGATAATTCTTTATAAAAGCATGCCATAATATTTTAAAAACTAAAAGAAACATTACAATAGGTTTGCCTTATGAAAGAAGCCATACATGTTGTATGATTTCGTTTATGTGGAATACAAATCGAGGAAGCTATTCTAGGTTGTTACAATAGTGGTTTTATCCTTGATTGGATGGAGCCTGTGGCTGAAAGGGAACATGAGGACCTTTGGGGGTGCTGGCAGTGTTCTGTTTCTTGAGCTGGGTGCCAGCTGCACAAGTGTACTACATTTGTGAAAATTATTTGAGCTTTATTATACGTGTACTTTTATGTTTGTATATCATTCTTCCATAAATAAAGTTGAAAAAACAGGTTAGTTTCAGCAATTAAAAGATGATAACTTTGTAGTTTTAAACTTTTTTCCCAAAGATAAAATAGCCAACTTACTGGTAGCCTCTAACATCAAGTGAATAGTTACTGCTAAGTCACAGACCATACTGCTCACTACAAAGATGAATTCCTTTTTATTTTTCCTTAAAACCTTGAAATAACAGTGAGCTGAAATTATTTAAAAGCCAAAAGGTGTTTTGTTGTTGATGTAGTTTAACTCTCACATGGCTTACTACATAGGTTACCTGATGTTCTATGACAATTAGTCACCTGATTCAACTAAAAGCAAAAATTCTAATTCAATTTTAACTAATCTTGACAGCATTTCTAAAATCTTAATACATTTGTAAAAGCACATCTAATTCCATTCTTTAGTACAAAAAAGTTCTGTTTCAGTTTATGTCTATAAAGCAATAATAACATAACTACACTTAAACTCAACTGTAACTCTTACTTAACAATAATTCCTATAATTTTAACACAACTGTATTACACTAGGCTGCAGACTGTCAG